TCAACCAAGTCAGCGAGCCTGGCCACACGGTCCCGTTAAGTAGTCATGCGGTTCTTCATTTAGGTTCATTTAGCAAATGATATTTTTTCATTGGTATCAACCTTACAGTGAGTGAGTGAGGGACAGAATTGCAACACAGTCACTATGCACTATATCGAAGTTGAATGAGTGAGTGAGTGAGTTTAGTTTCGCGCCGGTGTTAGAAATACTCCAGCAATATCACGGCGGGGGACACCAGAAATGGGCTTCACACATTGTACCCTAGTCTGTCTCACAGCCCCTGAACCACATTAATTTCCCTACTCCCAAGCCCTCTCTGCAGTGCTAAAGCCCTAAATAAAGCAAGTCTAGATTTCCTCAGGTTCTGAATCTCTGGTCTCCCTAAGGCTCCTTTTCAATATAAATAGGCTTGTTTGTTACTATCAAAATTATATATATTCAGAGACTAAGCCTTAGTCTAATTGTACCCATGTAGGGAATCAAACCCGGGTCTTCGGCGAGACGAACGAAAAAACGATTTAACCACTTTAACCACTGCCCCTAACCTTGAAGAATTTAAAAACGAAATTAATGGTGGAAATCGTAATCTTTTCATGAATATCTCTATACAAATCTGTAGTAGGTGTACATTACAAACTAGATAAAACTAGATAATACTAGCATTTGTATATTCACTCCTGTCATACAGACTGACTATTATCATACAGACTATCGGTGTTCTTCGTCGCCAATCCTTCATCACTATAGTCATGACAGTCGGAACGCAGTGATAAACTTAGACTAAGCTTAGTCTCTGGCTATATGTAATTGTGATAGAAACTGTTAACTTCATTTAAACTGAGAATGAGCCCCAGACAGATGAGAGATTCAGAACCTGAGAAAAATGTAGACATTGTTCATATTTTTCTATTTTTATAGAATTGATTTATTTGAGGCTTCTGCATCACATAAATAGCGGATCAAAAATAAATAGTAGATCAAAAATAAATAGTAGATAAAAAATAAATACAGTTCAGGGGCTGTGATAGAGAAAAAGTTATAAATACAGCTAAAGTCTAATGATTGGGCAAGTCTAGATTGCCTCTGGGGCTCCCGCCAGAAATTAAGTTATCCTGGGCGGCCCCTTTTGCATTTTAATTTAATTCATTTTTTAGACATTTATTTTTAAATATGGTAACTCTATTTCTGGAATATCTAAATGTCAATCTAGGAACTGTGAGAGAATCTATGAATCAGGCAAGAGGGTGATCGTGTGAGTCAAGTCATCAGGCACACAGGTATTCATTTACCTGGTATTCACACAGGTATTCATTTAGTGCAACGGGCGTTTAATTGACGCTGTCAATTACTTGCTAAGCGTGTAATTATATTACTAATGATAACATTCGTCATATTTTACAAGTATGAAACAGGGAAACTCAGAATTTATATCATTTCTTAACAGACTGAACGAATAACAATTAGGAATTATATATTCATCGTTGCCAGGAGATTATCGCCTACTGGACGCGTGGGATGAATAATGTTCTATTTGTCAAACAATTATGAAATGACAAGATAAAATCTACCGAAGGATAATAGTTTATAGACCCGCTGAAATCTAATTAACTAGGCACAGGCAAATTGGTAGCCCTGAAAAGTTCGTTAAAATTGTTAAAACACTGGGGTGTTGCTCTGGTAACTGAATTCATAAACTGGTTATAAATTTCTACACGGTGTCATATTCCCAGTTTCACCCAAGGATCTTGCTACGCCTCATCTTATGCTAGGTGGTGGGTAGCCTTGTGGTTAAAGCGTTCTGTCATCGCCCCGAATACACGGGTTCGATCCCCCACATGGGTATAATATGTGAAGCCTATTTCTGGTGTCCCCCGCCGTGATATCGCTGGAATATTGATAAAAGCGGCGTAAAACTAAAACTCACTCACTCTAGTCTTAAACTGAGGTCAGACAATAATCAGTGGAACATAGTCCCCCATCAAACAAGTGTGTGTGAGTGAGTGATGTATTGAGGTGGGTTTAACGCCACTTTGATCAGTATTCAGCTATATCACTGTGTGTCAGCTTGATTTGGTGGGAAAGCCAGTCGCGATGCACTGAAACCCACGGTATGGAGCTGACCAATGTAGAACTATTTTAGAGACCAACCGAGATTCGAACCCACGATCAAAGATAGAAGGGACGCAACTCTGTATAGCAAGTTGTGACGGATTAGACGAGGGAGCCACCCGTGCCCCCTGACCTTCAACCTATCCCGATGTTTGCATGAACAATGGAAATGCGTTTGTATAGGGAAGTGGGAAGTGCCGAGTCACGTGTATTTCAAACAACCAACCTTGGCCTTTTGCATGATTGACAGCTGTGGCAAGTGCGTCTGATACATGTAAGCTTAGCTTGATTTGATGTCGTGTAATTAGATATGAGTATTACAGAGGCTCCTGTCGTTGCAGGCTGTTGCAGCGACCTAGACGTGTCAACAGTGTCACCGACATCTGAACATCTGAACACTGTCACCGACATCTAAACACTGCCATCAACAACCGATAATTGTCACCAATATCTGAACACTGTCAACAATATCTGGACACTGTCACCCATATCTGAACACTGTCACCAATATCTGAACACTGTCACCAATATCTGAACACTGTCACCAATATCTGAACACTGTCACCAATATCTGAACACTGTCACCAACATCTGAACACTGTCACCAATATCTGAACACTGTCACCAACATCTGAACACTGTCACGAATATCTGAACACTGTCACCAACAATATCTGAACACTGTCACCAACATCTGAACACTGTCACGAATATTCGAACACTGTCACCAACATCTGAACACTGTCACCAATATCTGGATACTGTCACCAATATCTGAACACTGTCACTAATATCTGAACACTGTCACCAATAACTGAACACTGTCACCAACATCTGAACACTGTCACCGACATCTAAACACTGTCACCAACATCTCAACACTTTCACTAGCATCTAAACACTGTCACCAATATCTGAATACTGTCACCAACATCTGAACACTGTCACCAATATCTGGACACTGTCACCAATATCTGAACACTGTCACCAATATCTGAACCCTGTCACCAATATCTGAGCACTTTCACCAACATCTGAACACTGTCACCGACATCTAAACACTGTCACCAACATCTGAACTGTAACCTACATTTTTAGTGAGTGAGTTTAGTTTTACGCCGCTTTTAGCAATATTCCAGCAATATCACGGCGGGGGACACCAGAAAAGGGCTTCACACATTCTACCCATGTGGAGAATCGAACCCGGGTCTTCGGCGTAACGAACCACCATCTGAACACAATCACCACCATCTGAACACTGTCACCGACATCTGAACACTGTCACCAATATCTGAACACTGTCACCGATATCCGAACACTGTCACAGATAATTGAACACTGTCACAGACATCTGAACACTGTCACCAACATCTGAACACTGTCACCAACATCTGCACACTGTCACAGACATCCGACCACTGTCACCAACATCTGAACACTGTCACCGACATCCGAACACTGTCACCAACATCTGAACACTGTCACCAACATCTGAACACTGTCACATATCCGAACACTGCACACACTGTCACAGACATCCGAACACTGTCACCAACATCTGAACACTGTCACCAACATCTGAACACTGTCACCGACATCCGAACACTGTCACCAACATCCGAACACTGTCACCAACATCCGAACACTGTCACAGACATCTGAACACTGTCACAGACATCTGAACACCTTCATATACATATTAATACTGTCACCAAAAACAGAACACTTTCGCCAAACCGCTACTGACAGTAAAGACTTAACATTTTTACATCATCTGAAGTATTTCACATTTGATCTGTGAATGTGTTCAAAGAAATCACTCATCACCGCCCGTTACAGAGCGTTTTCTACATGGAACCTTCTGTCTATAGTATAGTGTATAGTAGTGTTTATCTCGTGTATTGTGTAATACAGTTTACAACCGTTGTGACGAAATTTGTTGCGTCAAATTTACGGTTGTCCCCAAGTTTAAGCCGCATTCCTTCATTTGATTTAACAAAAATTCATCATTTTTCGGATGTGTCTAACCTCGGTTATCTCGAAGTACATACATAGGCTTCCTTCAACGTCAACAGTGTTTGACTGTATTGATCAATAACGTACAAGGCTACAGCAACAACGTAACATGTACACCTTGACCTTAGTCTGTCTCACAGTCCCTGAACCACATTATTTTCCCTACTGCCAAACCCTCTCTGCTAAAGCCTTAAAAAAGGCAAGTCTAGATTTCCTCAGGTTCAGGTTCTGAATCTCTGGTCTCCCTGGGGCTCTTTTTCAATTTAAATGGGCTTGTTTGTTACTATCAAAACTATATATATTCAGAGACTAAACATTAGTCTAACCTTTACCTATACCCATTTCACGACACTTGTCTCAGGTGATCTTTACTGATTTTCAAATCAATACCCTATATGCGTGGCTTATGTAATAAAGTTGGAACAGTACAGATCATCTGGCAAAACAGTAAAGAACCGCAGTATGTTTGGTTAAAAGAGAACCATTTGTCCAAACATAGTGGACACTGACAGGTCAGCGATGACCTCAAGGGTTGGTGACACAGTTGGAAGGGCACCATATGCCGAATGTCATGAGCCGTGTTTTTTAACGACAACAGCTACGGTGACATTGGTATTAAGCACCCTCCTCCCACACATATGGAGAATGTTGTGAGATCAATACGTGATCTATTTACGGCGTTTGCTGCGACGACAGTGGCTACTACATCATCGTTTCTCCCACAGTCGGTGATGACGTCATTAGTGAAATTAATCTTCTTCACTTTGGGATGGGGTAAAGTACGCCATGTAAATAAATTAGATGGGTAGCGTTCCCGTTTTCATGTTAGCTGTGTGATGTGGTTGTAAATGTTAAGGTATATTGTCCATATTATTATCCCTCTCTATCTGAACCACCGTGGTTGTGTATATTAAGGTAGCATGTCTATATTGTCACCTGTCTATCTGAACGACCGTGGTTGTGTACATTAAGGTATCATTCTATATTGTATCATGTCTTAAGGTATTGTCTACCCCTGTCTATCTGAACGACCGTGGTTGTGTACATTAAGGTATCATGTCTATATTGTTACCCCTGTCTATCTGAACGACCGTGGTTGTGTATATTAAGGTATCATGTCTATATTGTTACCCCTGTCTATCTGAACGACCGTGGTTGTGTACATTAAGGTATCATGTCTATATTGTCACCCTGTCTATCTGAACGACCGTGGTTGTGTATATTAAGGTATCATGTCTATATTGTTACCCCTGTCTATCTGAACGACCGTGGTTGTGTACATTAAGGTATCATGTCTATATTGTTACCCCTGTCTATCTGAACGACCGTGGTTGTGTACATTAAGGTATCATGTCTATATTGTTACATTACATTAAGGTATCATGTCTATATTGTCACCCCTGTCTATCTGAACGACCGTGGTTGTGTATATTAAGGTATCATGTCTATATTGTTACCCCTGTCTATCTGAACGACCGTGGTTGTGTATATTAAGGTATCATGTCTATATTGTTACCCCTGTCTATCTGAACGACCGTGGTTGTGTACATTAAGGTATCATGTCTATATTGTTACCCCTGTCTATCTGAACGACCGTGGTTGTGTACATTAAGGTATCATGTCTATATTGTCACCCCTGTCTGAACGACCGTCTTATATCATGTCTATATTGTTACCCCTGTCTATCTGAACGACCGTGGTTGTGTATATTAAGGTATCATGTCTATATTGTTACCCCTGTCTATCTGAACGACCGTGGTTGTGTACATTAAGGTATCATGTCTATATTGTTACCCCTGTCTATCTGAACGACCGTGGTTGTGTACTATATTGTCTACCCCTGTCTATCTGAACGACCGTGGTTGTGTACATTAAGGTATCATGTCTATATTGTCACCCCTGTCTATCTGAACGACTGTGGTTGTGTATATTAAGGTATCGTGGTTGTGTACATTAAGGTATCATGTCTATATTGTTACCTGTCTATCTGAACGACCGTGGTTGTGTGTATATTAAGGTATCATGTCTATATTGTTACCCCTGTCTATCTGAACTGAACGACCGTGGTTGTGTACATTAAGGTATCATGTCTATATTGTTACCCCTGTCTATCTGAACGACCGTGGTTGTGTATATTTAAGGTATCATGTCTATATTGTTACCCTGTCTATCTGAACGACCGTGATACACGTGTAACACCTTCTACTACAGCGTGTTACACCTTCGACGTCTGCGTGTTACATATTTGACCTCAGCGAGTAACACCTTAGATTACAGCGTGTTACATACTCGACTATACACGTGTAACACCTTCGTCTTTACTCTCAGACCATTCCTCGACCAGCTGACCCCTACAATATAGCCAAGCACATGCAGTCGACAGAATTTTTGTTCCTATCTCGATTATCCAGCGTATATCATGCTGGTTAATCGAGGCTGAGCATGTTCCTTCAGGTGACGCATTCTCAGATTCCCATATTCAGATCCGGGTTGAATGGGTCTTCAGCAACCTATGCTTGTCGGAAGAGCCGACTAACGGGATCGGATGGTCAGGCTCGCTGACCTGGTTGACACAAGTCATCGTATCCCAATGGCGCAGATCGATGCTCGTGCTATTGATCACTGGATTGTCTTGTCCAGACTCGATTAATTACAGACCGCCGCCATATAGCTGGACTATTGCTGAATGTTAAACAACCAACCAAGCAACTAATTCTCTGTTTTGATTATGACGAGTAAGACATGGTGAAGTTAGTACTTCATGGTAAATGTATACGCACACACCTTTCTGGTTGTCTGTTTCACGAAGACCTGGGATTTGACATCTGTTATGTCAGTAAATAGATATCGCAATGTACACACAAACGTCTTGTTTTGTTTTGATTTGTTCTTTTGTTGTTTAAAACCGCACAATACTCCACTTGATGTGATCCGTAAATAATCAAGCTTGGGCCAATTCAGTTCAATTCTTTATTCCGTTAGCGGGTTGTTGGGTAGCCTGGGGGTTAAAGTGAAGACCCGGGTTCTATTCCCCATAATGAGGTGTCTCCCAAGGTGATATGGCTGGAATATTGCTAATTGGGGCGTAAAACCATACTCACTCACTCACTCACTTATTCCTTTAGTGTAGGTCATCGGACCAAAGCTACACGCGTTTACGTAAGTGCTACAGTTATTCAATAATCGATCAAATGTTGACGTTAAAGTTAGTGTTGCACGTGCAACATTGAATAATAGATATACATTGCTAGATTCTTAATTAGGGTACAATTGATGGTTGACGAGGCTGGACCAGACAGAACAATGATTGAAATAACGAGTTTCCATCTACGCAACTGGGATACGATGACATGTCAAAAAAACGACAGCAAGGCTGACCACCCGATCCCGTTACTCGCCTCTTACAACAAATATGGGTAGCTGCAGACCAGTTCTAACCGGATTGCAACTGGTTCACATCCAATAGCTGACTAAAGACACGATAAACACCTATTTTTTAACATGTCTTCTACAATTATTCAGATTTGATTCGTATTGGCGAAAACAGAAAGTCACCTTTATGAAAAATGTGACTAATTTGACACAGCAGACATAGTCGGAAAAGTGAGAGAGTGAAAAAAGATTGGTCGAGCGACTGCCATTTTTAGAATGGCAACAGGACGTTGTTCAGGGAACACCAATGTACGACGTCTGATTTCATGTAATTACAGCAATTTCTTTGTCTAGACAGTATTACTTATGTAACAAATTTTGATAAATAACAATATTGTTTAGTTAAAATCCAAATTTATTATCATACGGACGTTGTATGCGCTTGGTCTCTAGAAGTGATTGCTACACAACCGATGCAGCTTATATACAGTGAACTCAGTCTTTGGCGACATCCGTCGGAGCGATTTGTGACAAAAATCTCAAGATAAAGAGATGCCAGGATTTCTGATTCCTTTTACGTTGCAGCATCTAAGTGATTTCTGAACGTACATTGGAATCTGTTCAATTATATACATTTGAAATGACATTTGATTTTATAATTCGAAGAAATAAAAGCTACAGCTAGACATTTCGACGACGTGCTGTGGCGAAAACACAACGACTTTGCTGACATTTATAAAATATGTATTCATCCCTTGAGCCGATAAAGCAGTTTTGCTCTCTAAATAAAATTACACCTAGTTGAAAAGATTTTAATACATGTTATCATGGAATGGGTTCGTATATAACTTGTCTTTTGTTCCCTTAACACTGTGGACACCCACAATCCCTTGTGTATGGGAAGAACCAGCCTTAGGGATCTAGTGGTCTGGTTTGTAGCCTTGGTTCGGCGTGCCAATGGTGTGGCTGACAATGTGGTTTATTTCAACATTTTGGAGCATAAGTTATTTTTCAAGCATTTTGGGGGATAAATTTTGTTAACTTCACAGTGCGAAAGGTTGAGTGGTGTGAATTAAAGATTAGTATATTGTTCCACTGACCATTTTGATCTGTGAGTAAACCCCACTAAAATGTCTGCTTCAAAGAATAAGGATTTACGATTCCTGCGCTTAAATGAATTTGGAGAAGTTTGAACATTTTTCATTTCATCAAGGGTTATGAATTTTACACGAGAACCGAACACAAAATTCAACACAACTACCGATATATACCAGTATAGAAAACCTTTACAGTAAACGGTTTAGACTCCTAGGTTGGTTCTGATAGTGATACTTAATATGTCCACATAGTATTTCCACATGAGACACACGCCTGCGAGCTATATCAGATCACCCTTGTCTCCCACGCTGACACGGGAAAAAACGAACCTAACCCACTCACTAACTATTAAGTTACGTTCAACGCTGTCTCCAGGGGCGCCGTGGGCGATGGTGCAGGTAGTTGTGGTAACGACAGCACCTATAGCCAGACGAAGGCTACATAACCGATGGAGAAGACTGATAAAATATGGGATGGGCAGATATACATATATCCTGATTGTATAAGTGTCGTCATATCCGCTCAACTAAATGTTCTGATCGCCCGATCCCGTTAGTCGCCTCGTCGCCAGCTCTCTGAGTGACATGTAGAAGTTGGTGTGATTGGTGTTTTATGGATATGCAACTTCTTTATTACAATATATGCGACGTTTTGGTGTAGATACTGACAATATATGAGACATTTCGGTGTAGATACTATCAATACATGTTATTACAATATATACGACGTTTTAGTCTAGATGCTATCAATATATGTTATTACAATATATATTATGCAAAATAATGTAGATGTCAACTTCTTTATTGTTGTTTACACAACGTTTCTGGCTTATACTTATGTTTACCTTTGCTTATACTTGAATACCAACTTTTATATGCCTCCCAAGAACCTAACAATATATGTTATTACACCAAGTCAAAACATTGATTCCACAACAGTCTTGTTTCCTGCTGACTGGGTTCCGTCATATTGCGCAACTTAGTACAATAACCAGTCCAGAAGTTTGAGACGAATTCATTCAACTGGATATACATAAATATTAATCAGTATTATTTGATACATCTAAACATTTGTATATTGTAACACTACGCTCCTTCTCATCCTTGCAAACACGTCCTGCAGCGCGCTCTAGCTGTAGTACAGCGTGCTCTGACAAACGGAAATATGGAAATCGTGGAAATCTCAAAACTAGGCTCTGCGCTAGAAAAGTTTGGCGGTCTGGTACGGACTTGATATTATATCAATCACAATGTGCGTTCCAAAACTACATTGAATAAGTGCAAAGAACACATAACAGGTGTAACCAGTGAGCCAGATGCAGTGTGTATCATTTTACGACCTCATCAAACAGGGTCAGTCTGTGACGTCTTAGTTAAGGTCATGCTGCCAAAACCTCGCCATAAAATATTGAAATACGATGCTATAAAAGTTTATAATTAAAATTAACTTGTAAATACCATTTTCTTATGAAACAAGAAATTGGAATTCAGTGTAACCATAGTTGGTTGTGGTGTCTGGTGATTCGGATCGGCTGAAAAGTAGGTCATTGTCTGAATAGGTTAACGAGACTTATGTTTCGGTTTGATATGTGCAGTTTCGAGTGTCGATGCTAACAATATATATTGTTTTTTTCTTTTTATCTATACTAGTCAACTCTTCTGAACTAATAGGGACGGTGAGGTAGCATAGTAGAAAGCGTTCGCACAAAGATCTGGGTTCGATTCTTTGAGTACAATGTGGGAAGCCCGTTTCGGATGTCCCATAGTGATTTTGCTGGAATATTGTTAAAACACCATACTGAATCATGACTAATAAAGGCAACAGATACTTTATAAACGTTGGATCAGCCTCAGAGCCAGCAGGACTGAGGCTTCCTGCAGCATCCAAAATGACACAACTATCAGTTACCTAAGCTCTTCACCAGCATCTGACATTGTGCAGATACCTACCGTTTCCATCTTAATAGTATTTATCATAAGCACACACTGATTATATCATGCCGAGACATGGCTCTCCCCTGCCAAATTAAATGTCAATTGCATTCGATGTGATTATTCTACGTCCGCAAAACATCTGACAAAATCAAGTTGCTGGACGAATTGTTTTTCTATTCTTGTGAATTTCAATCAAATTTGGTATCCTTCCGAACAGATGAAATGTTTTATGATTCCACATGACCCTTTGATATGATGAGTTATTGGACATTTATCTGAATCGATGCACTGTTTCACAGCTTTGGACTGAAGTGATCGGAACAGGAGGCAGACAGGGAGACGTTTGCGTTCCTTAATTCTTTATA